CGTCTAAACATCACTAAAAACAGTATACTCTCCTACTCCTACAGCCTTGTTACTACCATTGTAGACGGGCCTTAACGGTTCCGGCATAAATTAACAGTTACGGCCTGCATAAACCAGCCTGAAGCCAATACACAATCGATTCCCAGGACAAAGAAATTTTTGCTTCTTATTGGTCAATCAAATGCTGCTTCATTTCGATGAGTGAATTTTCGAATGCTAGCACGAAGATATTAGATTGGTCGATTTCTTCGCGGAGAAAACTTGAATGAATAGTCGGCATTACGTAATATAATAGTGTGAACAAGTTTTGCAACAGTTTTCGTGCGTGAATCTTGTAAGAGAGGCATTCGTGTCTCGTATATTGCAGATTGCACACTGGATTGCATTTTGGATGTGTTTTTTATTTTCGGGGTGACATAACCTGAGATTGACCTATCCTATCACTATCTGCTTATGGCGAATTAAGTTTGCGAGATCTGACATACGATTCGCGGTGCGTATGGATATGTAGTCATTGATATCAAAACAATGTCATATTTTTGGCTTCAAGTTGCTACGTATCGTTTTTTTACTTTGCATAGAGTCAGAATTTGTCAGTTCATAGAGATACGTTACATATATATATATATGTGCGTAGCACATATAAGACTGATAATCGTTATTTAATTTGTTATCGAATACCAAAATACAGTAGTACATAGAGGAGACATGAATATTTGCAGAAACCTTCTATTAGTGTTGTATAATATTTATTTATAATATTATTGTGTTTTAGCTTTAACTATGTTACTACCGTACCTAATAAACAACTGGAGATACAGCAATGCGCCTGAAGGCCAACAGCCGTTTGAAAAAGTGCTCGGGCTGAGTAAATATGGATTTTGCAGTAGCTTTTTCATCGGTGGATATGATTGTATATTGGTATCTCAATCATATACCTTCTGGAATGCATTAAATACCATGTCTTATTGGATGGTACCTATTACTGCCATGTGTGCCACTTTTGCTTCTGTGGCATATACAGTGACAAAAATTAGAGGAAGAGATGGCTATGCCAATTATATTCTGGCTTGTATGTAATGTATAAATATTAGATGTTAGTTATTTTAGGAGCGTGAATAGTTATCAAATTTTGTTTATTTGCTACAGCATTAGCTACAAGTGGAGTCTTCTATCATTGGCAGAGGAACGGCGTGCTCACTTATAGCTTCACTGTTGCATTAATTGCGTGTGCCATGATTAAGAAGCATGGTGATTTGGTTAATTGGAAACCTTTCCCATTAGACGCTGAATTATTAACTCAACATACTACTTTCCCCCTTGATTTTACCATCGTCAAGGATCCTAGGGGACGTAGGCCCTGGGAATAATGATCTTTTGTATACATAAAGAAAAGAATTAGTGTTGCTGATGCATAAAATTAAATGGCGATATGTTATATTATACATGTATAATTGATGATATAAAGAGATACAAAAGATGTATCTTTCATTTTCATCCTGTATTTATTCAGATTCTAGTACAGTAAATAAAAAGGATTGTAAAAGGATATATTTGCGCATTATACATAGAGGGATCATGTCAGTGTTTCACCCTTTGTGACCTGTTAAATAATTATAACTATTAATATAGTAATATAAAAAATGCTATATTAGTAGATGTCATTTACTTAAAAAATTTGAAGATAAATACATTGTGTGTGCAATTAATAATAAGATAAATTACTTTTTCAATTTAAATGTAAATATAAAGTCACTTACGCATGCCTCTAGATATTCAATTCTTCGTTCAAGAGTTGTGAGCTTTTCATTAAGGACTGCTATTCTTGATCTACAAGACATATCTAAAAAAAAAAAAGGTATTAAATATATAATATAATAGAGCGTTAAAAATAATATAACCTTATGAATATTAATAT